TTGGCTGAAACTTGAAATAGCTATAACTCCCTTGGTTTTCAACCAAACAGGATGCGATTTAGAACATAGATAGATAATTAGATATAAGGGACTCCTATAAGAAGGTATGGTTATCATGCACGTGCACACATGTGCGTGCATTTGGAACGAGTGAAATTAAAAATACGCTTGAATGACTGATTTTTAATATTTTTGAACTAAATGCTTTAATATATATAGTATATTTAAATACATAGATAGTAGAGACATGATGATATGGTCATAACGCACATACGTTCACATGCGCATGCGTGCAATGTTAAGATTTGAATATAATTTGTATCCTTCTGGGAAAACATGGTTAAAGTCAAAAATGCAGAGAGTTTGTCTTATATAATGAAGCTTACAGTGAATATGGCACAAAAAGGGAGTTGGGGAGCGTTTGGGGAACATCTGTAACGGTTCCCGTTACAATTAGCACTAGTTTTAAATATTTTGCAACTGTAATTTTCTTCTACATTTAAAAATTGTTATGTCCCTCCATATTAAGAAGATGTCTGGAAAATAAAATTCTGTGCTAAAAATAGAACACGTGCCGCTATCCATGAACTACTTTCATGGTTCTTTACACTCTTTTTGAAGACAACGGTACCTTGTTTTGAACTTGAAATTATCATTTAAAATTGCAAAATGTAGACATTTTCTCAACAAATGCATATGGTTGTTGAGAGAACATTAATGCACACTTTGCATATTTTTTTGGATTTTTTAAGGCTCTGCTGAATTCTGTAGCTGCGCAGTTCTAAGAAGCATATCAAAAGCATTTTTCTGCAAAAGTATAGATTATATATGCACAACACGCATTCAGTTATGTATATTTATTGTATCTTTATCATAAGGACTTAAAATTTGATCAAAATACAATGTATTTTAGCCATTTGAAGAAATGTTTACATTTTGTTCTCACTCCACTAACGGTGGCCGGACATCCCCCTTAATTATTGCCTGATATAACTACATGTACATGCAAATAAAAATATAATTGAGAATGACATTTTGTGTGAATCATTGAAATATGCTAATGTTGCAAACTCTCTGCTGTTTTTTAAATTTCAAATTCACTGTGATACATCGAATCGACATAAAAATCAAAATAACAGTATTGTCAATTGATAAAATATTGCCGTCCGAGATATCGAGTGTCGAGCTGAAAGTCACAGCAAGTTTTTTTTATGTTTTCTTTAATAAAATCTGCTACATGGGAATATGAAAATATAATGGATAATAAATACCCTCAATACTACCCATTTGAATAGTCTTTTTAATGTATTTTTTTAAATTCAATTTGGCCCCCAGTTAAAATTCTGAAACATTTTTTGTAAAACCACAGGAGAGTTTCAATCATATTTTAAATCTGATTTGGTAAATGCAAAAATATACCCAGTAAGAGAAGTTCAAGGGGTCAGAAGTTCACAGAAAAAAACATTGTTTTCGACCTTCATTATCCCAAAAAGTGACAATCGAAATTAAAATAGCGTCATTGCACATCTATAATACACGCCTTATCGTATTTCAAATTTTGAATTGGCTGCTGCAAAAAATATAGGAGGAGTTCAGTGAATCAGTTTTTTGTGGAGAAACGACGCTTTTTGGCCTTCATTAGCCCGCAGGCATCACCCACCATATTCCAAACACACATGTAAGTTTGTTTTCGCAAAAAATGAAAGAAGAGTTCATAGAACAAAGTTTTCAATCCCATATTTCCTCCCAGGTGTAATGACAAATTTTGAGATGGAGATGACGAACAGCCCAAAAGACGACTAATCAGTACAAAAAGGAGCAGTGCAAACACAGACCTCCGAAACATCTGTGATGGGATCAAGTGGGATTAATCAAAATTGAAAATTTAAAAAAAAAAGAAAGAAAGAAAGAAAAAGAAAATTTTTAGCATTTCCTCAATCATCTTCCTACAGATAAGTTGGCTTCTAAGAATAAAATAGTAGTTTCAGAAAGAAAAAAACTGACTAAAAGACGAAACAGGATAACAATATACAAATACAAAGCTAAATGTAATACGTTTACTGTACTCTAATGGGCATAAAGAAGAAGAAATAAAGTAAAAACAACATATTCCCATACTTCGAATTGACTTAGATATTTTAACTTTATTTTGAAAATAGACACTTTAAAGTGAATAAAACAAACTTCTGTTGATGTTGATTAATGAAACCGATAATAAAGACTGTACAATATATTGTGCGTTAAGTACAGATTCAGTGTAATTTACAATACCGGATAGCTTTTCAGTGCATCTGTTCAAAGGATGCTACATACATATAATGTGATGAATTATCCCTGTTTAAAGCAAAAAACTTCCTCATTGAAAAATGATGACACAACAAGCAAAGGGATCTCTGGCTCACCTTTCATTTTAATATAATAGATCTACAGGTTAAGAAAATGTGAGTTATTTTTAACATTTTAAGTAGATGAGAAATCAAATACATGTATGTTTGTAAAGTATTCTTAAGATCAACAAGTCGAGTTTTTGTTTTCAAATTATACAAATCAATTCTTTTTATAGATTTTGTTTTCCCCAACAATACAGGACAAGTACATGTATGACAACTTTTACCTTTTACCATAATTGTGAATGTGGTCGTCTAAGGGACCGGTACAGAAAGATAAACCAGTTTTTACCTGGAAAATGTAGTCATTTGTACGATTTTTAAAACAAATCTGTCACAACAACAAGGTCATTGTATCGATCATACATGTAGAACTTACAAAATGATGACTTTAAACGAAACTGCTGATATTCTTGTTTCATCACCTGCATACGGAATATACGAGGGCTGTTCAATAAATAATGTCCTCGGTGCTCAGAAAGAAGCAAAAGACGCTTTTCAATGATTTATTCTTCATGATTTTACTAATTAATCTCTTTTAAGTAAATTACATGTCCGTAACATTTTTTATCCAATTTCTGATCGTTTGTAGAACTCATTTTTGGGCATGACCCTTAGTATACTGGAAAATGGCAGATCCAATGATTTCCCGAACTTGATTCTTCCTTCTGAAAGGTGTTTTTTCCAAGTTTGGAAATAGAGACAAGTCAAAAGGTCAAAGATCTGGCGAATATTGTTAATGTGAAAAATTATTAACTTTCTGTTTATCCTGAAAACCCCTTAACTCTTCAGGGCATGCGGGTTTGGACGCTGTCTTGAAGAAATTCAATGTAGTGGATTCCTGATTATGGGTCCTTCCTCTAATAAACCTTTTGATTTTTTGGCCAAAAAAAGTGCTTTCTAGACTTCTCCAGAAATTAAACTGTCTCTCCGAATACGATTTTGAACAACAATACCACTAATGTTTAAGAAAATTACATATAAATCTGTCTTTGTGCTCATGCATACCTGTGCACTTGTCAGACATTCGCCGTTTTTATCAAGTACATCTTATGGTAAATTTTTTTAGGGTTTTAAGCAATAGATTCATGTTTCAATATCTGTTTGAAAATAAAACAAACGTGGATAACTACAATTACTGATATTTTAAAATAATTGTTAAGACTTTGGTAAACACTCTCGTTTTCACTCATTTTTCAAAATATAGGGTGACCTTTGAGTACTAAGCTTTTTTACCGTCAAACGTTTCTTAAATACAGTGTAAACTACTCCCGATGTGATGTCTATCAAATTTGCTATGTGTCTTAAAGTCAATCATACATCATCAAATATAATTTGTTGAAATTTGGCGAACAGTGCATAAGTTGTTATAAGTTTTGTTGGCAAGGAGGGTACCCATTTTTGATGCCCATTATATAATTTTTTATCATTGAAATCCACCTGCTCTTTTGTCTATAAAACAGGCATTGGTTGCTGTAAATGTCACAAATTTCAGTAAATATTTCTTTGGGATTCTTAACAAGTTTTACGGCAGCTTTAATGAAGCTTTTATTTTCACTCTAGTTTACTGATTCTTTACCATTCATTTATAATACAGTGTCTCGAAAATCCCTTGTTTCCCAGCTTCTCACGTTGAAACTATGTGATGAAAAGTGGTCACATAAGCTGTTATAAATTCAGTAAAGATTCAATAATGAGAGAAAGTCAAGTTTAATATCATATGATATCTGTAATGTATGTCATATAGTTCAGGACATTATTTATTTAACAGCCCTCGTATATATCTCAGTTGATTCGATACGCAAGAACATACTCTATGTATGAACAATTTCTCAAACGAGGTAAATTATTGACAAGCAAGTTGATGATACAAGAATATCAGCAGTCTCGTTTAAAGTCGTCATCATTTCGTAAGTTCTATGGTCGATACAATGACCTTGTCAACAAGTACAATTTATTATTGAGTCAAATGCTGACTGACGTTTTTCATACTCATTGTTAGTCCATTATTTATACACTGAATTGACGACGGATTTTCCCGTTATTTCCTGATCATGACAAGGAGCACACGGCAGGTGTGACCGGTCAGCAGGGGATGCTCACCCCTCCATGGAACCTGATCCCACATGTGGTGTTTCTGAGGTCCGTGTTTGCTCTGCTTCTATTTTGCATTGTTTTATGGGCTTTGAGATTGAATACTCTGTCTGTTTGTTATCTCCATATCCTTCTTGAAGGCCAAAGAAAAGTGTTTTCTTCTTTTCACGCATAAGATTTTGCTCAAATTCTGCTTCATATGAATACAATAATAGGTCTGCTTTTAACGGGGTGCAATTGGTACCCATCGGATATTGATTTTTATTCCCCCCCCCCCACCCCATCCTCCATTCAAAGACGATGTTACTTTACTGTGCTATACTTTCTCTTAAACAGAGTATATACTTTGAAATCAGTTTATATAATGTGTTTTAAGTCATTTAAATCTTTATAAAGTGGCTGGAGAAAAGGAAAAGGAGATCATTTTTTCTAAAACATACTGTACACAGGTAAGCTATTTTAATGACAAAATAAACGAATAAAAACCGAACGGACCGCAGATATTGCACCACTTGTACATCTTTCATGTGGGTGAAACAAAAAAATCCTTACTCGATGTATTGCAGATCTGTTACTGTAAGTAAACCATCTCAACTTCGTGAGAGTCAAAATACAAATAAAATAAATATTTTTATATTTAATAATTACATTGTTTGCTTCATCAAATAGATTATTTTTTTTTAACAATTTGTTTTATGAACAATAATTGTTTATATGCATTAACATTTATTGTTTATTCTTCAATATAGTTTTTCGTTTTGGCCGTTTTCCTGCTATGTGAATCAGAAGCATGGTGGTTAGTGGGGAAAATGGCAACAATAGGAACTGTCCCGCAAGAAGTAATAAAAGAAAAATATGTTCCTTTTATTTCAAGATGATATTAAACATAGCTGTTTTTAAGGTTGAAACATCCTTTTTATTTAAAAAATGTGTTACAGTTATTCCTTTTTGACGATTTTTATACTTTTTTGTTCTCCGCCACGGTAAACTCTTTTGCTTCCCATATTTTTCACTTTTACTCGATGATATTTATTTTTCATGTGTTCTCAAGGTGGAGCAAGTCCATATTATTTTGGTACCACAAATCTTTGGTGTATGATGAAGGGCAAACGTGGCATTCCAACACGGGGGGTTTGGGAATTGAAACATCGGTTTATCTATTATAAAGGATTATACTTTGAATTTTCGAGTGAGTATTTTTTTCTAGAATTGTCGAAATTATTCTGAATGCATATTCAGGAGTTTAATTGCTGCTTTTTAAAAGAAATTATGTAAAAAAAAATCTTTATAAATGAAAAAAATGTCTTTGAACTAGTCAATTATTTTAACATACCAAAAACTTTTCTTTTTGTTTTCCCCGTAATTTTGGACATTAAAGCATCATTATAATCATAAAGTTGAAAATTTTCTCCGTGCAAATGTATATGGATCAGCATGAATGGTAACTTGTGCATTGTCAGAGACTGCAAAGTTAACTGCCGTAGTATTCTTACTTAAAATAAACAAGTAACGTCATTGTGTGGCAGACTACAAAATAAACAAAGTATATAATGTAATTCAATTTAAAGGTAATTCAAAAGCCTACGTTTCATCAACTCGTCTTGCAAGCCATTGTTCCGGTGGAAGGGAGGGTTCGCCTGCTGGTTACAGCGAGGTAGATGTCGAGTGTCTGAAGGGTTGCGCTCGCAACTACAGATGTACGTTTGGAAGTTACAATGCCTTAGGTAACAACTGCCATAAGTTTGCAAACCGCCTCTCTGAGGTCATGTGTAAGAGAGGGGGTGGCTGCCCTAACTGGTGCTTGGGTAGTTGTAATGATGCATATATCAGCGGATAAATTTACCCATTAATATATCAATAATGCATCATAAAATCTGTTGTTTACTGCTAATTCCGACTTTTATATTTTATTTTATAAATTTTCCGCACGATGTAACTTCCTGAAAAATATTATTTTCAGTCTTAAAGAGTCAGGGAACATGTACTTATTGTTCGAACTTCATTTTTTCCACACCGAATTCTTATTTTGAGCGTTAACCTGCATAAATGAGGATAAGGAAAAAAGTTCGAACTTTAAACTTACTGGTTCTTCTCCTTAATTAAAAAAAATATATGCTGTGCAAAATAAGTCGTGGAAGTGAATCTGTGAATTTTACAAGAAAAGCAGATTGAGATCTACAGTTTTCATCAATAAGTGTAAGTATCATTGAACCATCTGTCGTCAACTTCAACTTCAAAGAAAATCAAATCATACCAGTGAACATCAGTAATTTGACAACAAGAACAGTGACTGTTAATCCAAAGGCAATACTTTGTGAGATACACCCAGTATCCATCATAGATCAGTCTCAACATGAGGAGGAGATAACTCATTTACAGGATGTGAAAATATCTACTGACAACTTATCATCAAGTCAGATACAGGAAGTACATGAACTACTCAGAGCGTACGAGGATATATTTTCAAAAGGCGAGACTGATATTGGATTTAACAACACCGTAAAGCACAGAATCGACTTACTAGATGAACAACCTTTCAAGCAGAGAACACGGCGAATACCACCTGCTATGTTTGAAGAGATCAGAAACCATTTACAGATGCTCCTAGATTCCAACGTCATAAGAAAATCAAGTTCACCATTCTCCAGTAATGTGGTCTTAGTTAGAAAAAAGGACAACAAATTAAGGATGTGCATAGATTACAGACAACTTAACCAGAGGACTAAGAAAGATGCATATGCCTTGCCGAGGATAGAAGAAATTCTTAATGCTCTTTCAGGAAACAGTTACTTTTCAGTTTTGGATATGAAGTCCGGGTACCATCAGGTAGAGATATTAGAAGAACATAAAGAGCGTACAGCCTTCACCGTAGGACCTCTTGGTTTTTACGAATTTAACAGGCTACATTTGGACTATCAAACAGCCCTGCCACTTCCCAACGGCTGATGGAGAGCTGTTTAGGAGACCTACATTTGAATATTTGTTTTATTTTCCTCGACGACTTAATCATATTCTCAAGATCATATGAAGAACACATTCACAGATTACAACTTGTTTTTGACAAACTCAGGGAATCAGGTCTCAAACTCTCACCAAAGAAGTGTAACTTATTCATGAAGAAGGTAAAGTATGTCGGCCACATTGTTTCAGAGGAAGGAATAGAGACAGACCCAGAGAAGGTACAGAAAGTCTTAGATTGGCCCATTCCACGAACACCAGAAGGAATAAGAAAGTTTATTGGTTTCATCGGGTATTACAGGAGATTTATCCCCAATTTTAGTAAAATCTCAAAGCCACTGACGAAAATGATGCCAAAATCCAATACTAAGAAAGACAAAAAGGGAAAACAAGCAGCTAAGGAATTTAAATGGGGAACAGAACAACATCAAGCCTTCCAACATCTAAAGAAACTTTTGACAGAGCCACCGATTCTTGGATATGCAGACTACAATCTTCCATTTGAGCTACATACAGACGCCAGCAAGCTAGTACTTGGAGCTGTACTGTACCAGGAACAACAAGGAAGAAAAAGAGTCATCGGCTACGCCAGCCGCAGTCTAAGTCCTACAGAGAAGAACTAGGCAGCACATAAATTAGAATTCTTAGCTTTGAAATGGTCGATTTGTGAAAAATTTCATGACTATTTTTATGGACATAAATTCACGGTACTGACGGACAACAATCCCCTGACATACGTACTGACGTCAGCCAAACTTGACGCAGCAGGGCATAGGTGGCTAGCAGCTTTATCTGTTTATGATTTCAATATTATTTACAGGCCTGGTAAACAGAACCAAGATGCAGATGCCCTGTCCAGAAGACCAACTAATGATGATTTTCAGTCCATTTCTACAGATTCCATCAAAGCCGTATGTAAAGCAGTTCATGCAGAGCCACTTGTTACTACTTTGTCTTTAGATACTTCTATTATTGATCAAAATTTTTCTCAACAGGATGTTATTGATCAGCAGATAGATTGGTACAGTGTTCAGAGAAACGATCAGACCATTAGATCCTGGATTCATCATGTCAAGCTACAAAAGAAACCTAGACTTGAGGACTTACCATTTCATCCTCATTCACAGGCATTAGTTAGAAATTTCAATGAACTTAGACTTATCAATAATAACTTGAATCAGCAATTAGTAATACCCACAATATTCAAAGACAAAGTTTTGATGGAATTACACAACAAGTTTGGCCATCCGGGTAGAGAAAGAACATCATCTCTAGTCAAAGACAGATTCTATTGGGTACATGTAGGAATGCACCAAGACATCGAAAACTGGATCAAGAACTGTAACAGATGTGTGCACAGGAAATCAACAAATCAGAAAGCACCATTAGTCAACATCAATTCTTCCTATCCACTAGAACTGGTCTGCATGGATCTCTTGACATTAGAGATGAGTAAAGGAGGATATTAACATGTACTTGTTATAACTGACCACTTCACTCGTTTTGCGCATGCGGTTCCAACACGCAACATGACTGCAAAGACAACAGCAGAAGCGTTATACAACAACTTTATTACTTACTACGGAATTCCAACACGAATACATTCAGACCAGGGAGCTAATTTCGAGAGCCAAATTATCAAAGAATTATGTCAGATTACAGGGATGAAAAAGTCAAGGACAACCCCTTACCATGCTATGGGCAACGGTCAATGTGAGAGATATAACAGAACTTTACTGAACATGCTAGGAACCCTGAAACCATCACAGAAACAGAACTGGAAGCTGTATATTAATCCATTAGTACATGCGTACAACTGCATCAAGAACGAGTCAACCGGAGTTTCCCCAGATTTCCTTATGTTTGGACGTGAACCAAAATTACTGATCGACATAGAGTTTGGCCTAAAGAAAGAAGAAAAGAAATCCGTATCGAAATACATCAGCAACTTGAAAGAAATAATGAAAGCAGCTTACGAACTAGTGAACAAAATTACCAAGAAATCACAGGAAAGACAGAAAGACACTTATGATAGAAGAACAACAAATGCAGAAATACAGATAGGTGACAGAGTACTTGTAAAAATTGTAGCTTTTGATGGAAAGCACAAAATTGCTGATAAATGGGAAGAAGAGCCGTACTTGGTAATTGAACATCCTAATCCAGAAATCCCAGTATATAAAGTACAGAAACAAACAACAAAAGGAAAAACTCGGACTTGACATAGAAACCTTTTACTCCCTATTGGACATTTAGATTCATATAAAACCAGTGTAGATGAATCATCACCATCAACTTCCAGACCTACTCCAAAACCCAGGACAAGGCAGACACTGAAGAAGAAACAAGGACAGGTTCAAGAGAAAACACCAGAGATTAGAGAATCAGAGAATGACAGAGATATTAGTTCAGATGAAGAATCAGATACAGAATTCATTCCGGTACCGGTACCAAGGATCCCTGAGGTTAACATCCCACCAGATGTTAGTAAGCACCCAGGTGAGCAGAGAGTACAGAGATCAGGAGAGCAGAGAGTACAGAGCCCTAGAGAGCAGAGAGTACAGAGCCCTAAAGAGCAGATTGTACATAGCCCTAGGGAACAGCCTGTACAAAGACCCATACAACAGATGGATCATATAGAAGAGAGTCAGGAAAGAGAAGAAGAAATACAGCATCATGATGCAGAGGAGGAAGTAAGAGATCAACAGCCAGTAGAGACAGAGGCGGAGCAACAGCAGGAACATGCTGAAGCCAGTAGTCCAAGATCTGAAGAACCTGTACCAGTTTTACCAAGAAGAAGCAATAGGGAGAGAAGACCAGACCAGACAGATTAAACCCACAGGAATTTGTTTTAGTACAACAACAGCAGCAACAAGAATGGATGAAGAAGTGTGACTATCTACATCGTTTGAAATCTTCAAAGTAAATGAAGTCATATGAAAAAGAAATAGTTCAAACCATGCTAGATATTTCAAAGAGAAATTAATCTATTTTTAATTGTACATATTTATTTTTATTTCAGATCGTCCAGTTAACTTGAAGAATTGCAGGAACAAAGCAGAGTATAGTTGGTAAGTCCATTAGAGAAATGACGGGGACGTCATTTTCTAATGGGGGGGAGTTTGTAGTAGAGGTACTTTTATTTGAAATAATAAAAGTTGGAGTGATTTTAAATGAAATGAAATAAATATTAAATATAAATTAAATAAACTAAATAAACTATTAAATAAGTTATAAATGATAGTTTTCCGTTAAAGCTTTATTCTTTTCATTCTTTACTAATTTGGGTATTTAGTGATATAGTTATACGCCCCATTGGATCCACACCTGTACATACACTTTTACATGACCACATACATATCTATTGGTCAGTTTTCGAAATACTCGGTTTTCATTGGTTAGTGTTTTGGTCTTTGTGGTGCAGTGAGTTTTATTCAGTTTAAGCTCTGAAATTCTGATTTTGAATGGAGAAGACCTAGTTTATTTTGTTTGCTGACTGTAATTTATTTCCAAAGACTTGAGACCTTGGACAATTCCTGAAATGTAAGTTTTTACTTGTTTTATGTAATAGTAAGATCATATCAAGAGAAGTCTTCGTCATGAAGAATGGGCGGAGCGAAGCGGAGCCCATTCTTCGTGACGAAGATTTCTCTTCATATGATCTTACTGACTTAGAACAGAACCTCAGCCAATCAAATGCATGGATTAAAAATAAACTCCTCCCACGGCTGTGTCATATATAAGGCTCAACTTGACCGCTCGTTGTACATATCGAGCACGCAATCAATATCGAACACACGCGGTTTCAGAATGGACTCCCAACCCATTCAGGTTAGCACGGGATTATATGAAATACCTTGATTTACTGGTGATAAGTATTGTGAAGATATAAAAGTTACTGA